AGATAAAATTAGACATTTCAATGAAAATTAAAGATTTTTTTGTAGTTTAAAAATATTATTCTTGGGCCCTTGAAACTCCTAAAGTATATCATTTTATTTTATACTAATAATGTAATTTTATAATACAATCTTTGCGGCAAAACTGAATTCAACTTATTATATTACTAGTATAGAMCAATAAATTACTTTAATAGCAATATAATATCATAAAATATATTTAGTAATATAGGGTGATTTTCGCTCAGAATCATTTTTGGCATGCGATCAAATTCAAATTCAACACATTCATAATATAGTGAAGACTCCTATGAAATCTAGTACATCTAGTATCTATACATTGTACAGCAAAGCAGAACACACTTGCCCTCCTTATTTTGATAATCAATCGATGTTGAGCACAATAACATATATTATTAATTTTGGTTTCCATTGTATAATAATTAAATATGTAATATAGTACCTATACTCACCAGTAAAATTGCAGGTATATAAAAGGCATACAATGACGTTACTCCACAATGGTGGCGATGTGGTTAAACGTTTAAAAGACATTTCTCGCATGAAGGAATTTAYAATAATAATGATATATTACAATAGGAGGTAGTGGCGCAGTTTCGTCGAAGCTGTTGCTGTGTGGACAGCATCCGATTGAATCTGATCGGCTGACAATTACACCTAAATTAAATTATAATTTTTAAAACATAATATTATAACACATTATAATATAACGCGTGTTAATAATCATATATTTCGCAACAAATCTCGATGGAGCGGTCGCGATTTCGGCTAAGTCTCTTTTTCTGAGTCTACGGCACAAAAACTTAATTGAAAAATTAATTTATACTTTGATATATATTTTAGTATCTTATACTATAAATATAATCATATAATGCAAAAGTTGACTGTCGGTCAGCCCGCGACAATGAAGAACGCGGTTGTAGACGTATAAGATACTAATGGGTAATGTGTTGTTTATAAACTTTGTCTTCTCTGTCCACGATATTATTTTCGAAGTCGTAATACTAAATATTAAAAGCGTCATAATATTGTCAACATATTATTACATAGGTACTGCGAATAATAATAATAATAATAATAATAATAATGATAAATAATGACGACAAAGGTCATAGGCGATGACGCGGTGTGCTATTCGCGCGCGATTGCTATGTATCCCAATAATAATAATAATKATATAAAAAAAATTGTATTACAATGATATTATTGTCTGTGCAAAAAGTGTAATTATATTGACGGCGCGACGGTGGTCTGCGTCAACTACTGCCATTTGCTACTAAACACACACGCGGGTATTGTAGAACTACACGACTTTCCACCACTCGCGAGGCACGAGCGCCCCTATAATATACAATTTGTTAGGTACTTAGTAGAACTATWATAGTATATTTTGTTGTATTTTGTGTTGTAAAATAATTTGCTATCAGTTATAATATTATATCTTAAAAGCTAAAGGTAATTCAATTTAAAAATAATGTTAAAAAAATGTATAGCTTTTAACTTTGGTTATTGGCTAACCTTGCTGCAGGGTCGTAATCGTAAACAACGGGGAGTGGGCGTCAGATCTTCCGTGGATTTTTTCAAAGACATTTTATGAAAATATGTTAAATTATTAAAAAAAAAAATTAACTGTTTCATTTTATTATACTGTATGTTTATAAGGTATTTACATACTATCATATAGGTGCATACTAGTACTAGATTTATAGAATATATATGTGGACTTACTGGAAAACGTTGTAAAATAAGTAGGAGTCGTTCTCGTWGGTGTATGAAAAACATTATGGTAGACTCGAAGCACTCTTAATTTAAACTTTAAAGTCTTTTTTTTACCTCACGTCACACAGTACATATACCTACTCCTAGAATAAAATTAATAAATGTGACATAATATTTTAATTACGATATTTCAATATTCTATTTATATATTGTGTATAGATAACATTATGATTTATGGCGATTGATGGCTTGAAGCACATATATATTAGGTATTCATTTAGATTTTGGAATTATTGTGAGTTTCAGAGTTTCAATAAATAAACTAAATACGTGTTTATAAGATTTTGTGTTATATAGGTACATCATACACATAAATCCGTGTTTTCAGATAAGTATAATTGATTTTTTACGGTATTTACGAGAGTAGGGACTGATATGTAAGGCGATACATCATTCTTGTAATCTTATCCAAAAGCGAATCCTAAAGTTTATTATTTTAAAATTAGGATTGATGTTCCTATAACCACTATAGCACATATTTGTTGTTATTCCGGAAGAGGACGATTTATTATTCTACTATATTGAACTTATCATCATGTTTAACCATGACCTTGCCTGTTGAGTGCCATTTTTACTATTTTAAAAATTAAATAATTTTTTTTAAATATTTAAATTTAATATATGAAAATATACATTGTTTATAGAGATTAAGACTAAATTTATATAATTTGTCGACTATACTCTATATTATATTATTTATAGCTGTATAATAAAAKCAATTACATTGTATTGTGACCATACTACGTTATTATACTCTTGAGTCTTGGTTTGTCGATTTACGAGTATATTCTAATATAGGTAGTTTTAATAATTAAAAACCATTCTTTAAGAATTGAATTGTTTAAATTTAAATTTGTGTGTGCACAAATCTATATAGATATACCTATATAGTGTACGAAAATAAAATCGAAATCAACACTAAAGTTGTTTAGATAAAAAAGAACCTTTTGTTAAGGAATGTTTCATCTACTTTGAAATAACAAAATAAAGATAATTTTTTAAGTTRTAATGTTTTATAAGTGTGTTTTGTATATTAATATCCACATAAATTGTTTTATTTTGTCTAAATTACTGCAATAATGAGAAGCATCGATGTATTTCCGTATTGGTTAGGCTATGTATATTGTATAATTTATATAACTATATAYAAGTATATATTGTGATTGTAATAGTTATTATACTGCACCGTATACCATACGCCATACAGATAGGAATGTAAAAATAAAATAAATTTATGAATAAATATAGAAGGTATGCTATAGAAAATAAATAAAATCACAAAATATGAACTTTTTTTTATTATTATTGGTCTTGAAATTTACAGTAATTTCAGCTTCGACAACTATGGGCCATTASCGTTGGATTAATTTATATAATTATTATGAGAGGAAAAAAAAATTTGTTGATTTTAATATACAAAATAAATATGTAACTYTTTGGACATTTTGTGTCTTATAATTATTTACATGTCAAAATTGTTGTTGTTAACTTATAATAACTTTAGTATTTGAGATTGTTTGAAGAAATGTATTGTTTTTGTTTCATTTTCAAGATTTGGACCTAGACTTTCTCCAATGTCGTGGCTTATGTTTAATTCTTCTCTGGTTTTTTGGTATATGAACTTTTATCGTGGTAAAGAAGCAGTAAACTGTGCATTGTTGATTTTACCTTAACATTAATTTAGCTGCAAGGTTTTATTTCGAAAATTGGAATAGAATAAACCCAGTAACATACTATAACCTATAATATATGTATACCTTTAAACGGTTAATAAAATAATAAAGTAATTATATTGAATTAAAAAATATATAACATTAATTCTAATTAAAAATAGTAAACTTATTTAAAGTATATTTTGTKCTTATCTATCTATAATATTTTATCAAAAGAAGAACAAAAAAATATGATATTTATAGCACTCAGTTTATAGTACTCTACTACTATTATCTAAATATTGGAGTTCTAATAATTAATTAAAATAACTAAGGTTTCAAGTTAATTAGAAAATTGAATTAACAATATTTAAGTTTAAATATTGAAAAATGTTTATCTTATAATTATATTACCGTTACTATAATGGAAAATTTATATACCAGTTCGTAGTATTTCACGGAATACTGATATTATGCTGACTTGTATAGATAAATGTATAACATCCCTTTGGGATATAAAACTACTGCGTAGTACGTATGTATTAGAGTGGGACACTAGGAATTTAGTTCTGGTTTTATGAATAATTCCTATAATTTGCCAACTGCAAATTGTCAATCTCGACTCGTTGAAAATTTCTAGCAACATATAATATAATATTATTCGATTTAAATTGATTGTAAGCTGCACGGTATGTTTATGTAAGTCGAAAAACTATTTTAAATTAATAATTATTATTATACCATCTACGACTCTACGCGGAATAAAATTTTCTCAATATATACTTAATACTTAACAAATTATTGTATTAAGTTTAAAATGTTTGGTAATCGGTCAAAATATTCAAGGACAAAATATCCACGGACAAAATACAAAAATTTATCCGTTTTTACGTAAATTAGTAGATTATACTTTACTTTCTAATAAAATTAACTCCTAAATGGCTAAATTGCTAAATATATCAATTACGTTAGTAGTAATGGAAGAATTACATCAAACTTCTAATCTGTATAATTCCAGATTGAATTATTATTTTTTGAGGAATTGATAATAAATTTATTGAACATCATATTATACTGACAAATGACAATATTCACTGATTCGGAAACCTTATTTACTGGTTTACTATAACTATACAGACGAATTGCGTTCTTTTATCACTCAACATAAATCGGTAAATATTATATATATCTATAAAAATTATGGCATAAAATATTTATTGTTTTCAAATATTGAAGTAGTTTTTGCTTTTAATTAAAATAATATCGTAATGATTATATAATTATGCCTATAACCTAAGTCCTTAAAATGAATTAAGTATTTTTGTGTTTCAAAGATATGAAATTGTATCATCATAGATAATTTTACAAAAATAAAAATTTAATCTACCTATTCAAATTTTGTTGATTATAATTTATAACTTATAATCTATTTACTATTACTTAACATAATCATTAAGAGTCAYTCTTACAATGTCCGGTTAAAGTTAACGGAAATTTAACCAAATATTGTAAGAATGGCCCTAAATATATATTTTCAAATGTTGGTGAATTTGTCCTCCCGTCACAACAGTTATAAATTTATAATACTGTAAACTGTTTGCTACTAGTTACTACTGATCTAACAAGTTCGAGGTCTGCAATATGAATCTACTTTTCGGTTAGGTACCTTTGTGCCTAATTATTAGTTATTACTATGGCTCGGAAGTTTATGCATTAAAAACTATTAATATATTCGCTAATAAAATCACTAAAATATCTGTAAATACGCATTTAGTTTCTTTTTTACGTTAGGTTATTTTTGGTTGAATATAATRATTAAAAGTTAAGGAAAAAGATGCACACTTTAATAAATATATGATATATTTTGAATTTACCTTAATAGCTATAATTTACAATTTAAAATTTACTATAAAGTACGTCTCACTGGCTCCTACTATCATCCTTTACTCAAAGTAAATATAAGCTGTGACAATATACACCTACTAACAT